GGAGATATCATCAGGAAACACGGTGTTAGCTTTCACTGTTATGCTGATGATACTCAGCTCTATATTTCTTTGCGGCCCGGCGAAACTCTGGCCATTTGATAATACCTAGAATATCAAAATCAACTGCGGGCGGCAGATCCTTTTCCTATTTAGCGCCCAAACTCTGGAATAACCTACCTAACATTGTTCGGGAGGCAGACACACTCTTGCAGTTTAAATCTAGATTAAAGACCCATCTCTTTAACCTGGCTTACACATAACACACTAACACATTTCTAATATTCAAATCCCAGATAGTGGATCAGCACATAGAGATGACCTCTACAGCCCTGAATGTCAGCGGAGATCAGGACAACTAGATGAGCCCCAGATACAGATCCCCTGTAATGACCTTGTCTCAGACGACCACCGGGACAAGACCACAGGAACCAGATGAGTCTTCTGCACAATGTGACTTTGCTGCAGCCCTTTAATTGAACTGCTCCCCGACTGAGCCTGGTTTCTCCCAAGTTTTTTTCTCCATTCTGTCACCGATGGAGTTTTGGTTCCTTGCCGCTGTCGCCTCTGGCTTGCTTAGTTGGGGACACTTCATTTCCAGCGATATTGTTGACTTGATTGCAAGTGATTGCAAAGATACTATTTAAACTGAACTGATGATGACATCACTGAATTCAATGATGAACTGCCTTTAACTGAAAATTGAGTGTTTACTATTGTCACTTTGCATTATTGACACACTATTTTCCTAATTAATGCTGTACAGTTGCTTTGACACAATCTGTATTGTTAAAAGCGCTATATAAATAAAGGTGACTTGACTTGACTAAAGGGGAAGGAGTGTAATGTGCTGACTGTCTGGTATGTTAAGCCACGCCCCATCTGTATGTATGTGAGTTCTCCATATGTGTTTGAGCACTCAGTAAACAAGTGAGCATGCAGAGCGTGTGTCTGTCAATCCTCTCCCCTAATTCCGCCTCCTATCAAAATATATTACAGATATGTCACAGGAATTTTCCAACATTTGTTCATATTAATTTAAAAGCATTTTGTTTTATTGACCACAGCATTATTGTTGATAATTGTTGAGAGGCACTTTTGATTCATTTTGTAAACAACAATGTGCTGATTCCTCCTGCTGGAATCTTCACATCTGACTGTAGTTTTTGTAGTTTTAGCTTTTGCTTTGACTTTGAATGAAATGGATATTGAAACTTAATTTCTATAGTATTTTGTAGCTTCTACAGCAGATCAAACGTTCATTTCTTAACTTCTACACACAAATTGTTCATTAAATGTTTTCAATAGTGACGTCCATATTTCAGCAAATATATTTAATCTCACTCTCTTTCACATAGATGAGACAGTAAGCCTCTTTGTAGTTTTATTTGGAAAATCATGTACGAGTGAGACCCATTTTGCTCTGTTATTCATCGCATACACTTTTACTCCAGGTTGGGTTACTAATGCGAAATGTTTGAAAATGTTTAATCTAGACCGAATGCTGGAAACATAAAGATGATAAGGAAGAGGATGTGAAGGTAAGACTGAAGCGAGAAACACACAGCAGACATGTTTGTTTGGTCTCTATAAAGTTTAATTGAAGACTGAGTTGAATGAAGCAGGTAATAACTGACAGGTTAGTCTTTATCTACACAATCTAGTTAAAGAGGCTGACCTGTCGTTGAACTGAACCAGTGAGTATGACGATCAGTCCATTCAATCCCATCATGCATCTGGCCTCTGAATAACTGCAGGCCGCTAAAGCTCAAGGCATCCATGCATTTGGCAAAACTCTCTCACGCAGACGAACATCAGGAGCAAAAGCACTTAGTGGAGGATTAAATGAGGAGAAACTTCAGCTCAAACACATGAAATCACATGAATTCACTGCTCCGCTTCATTACAAACAATCTGATCCTGATGATGTTTAAGACGGAGTTTCTCAAAGACGAGTCAAACCTTCAAATCCTGATCAATAAAACAAAATATCCAGATCACCAGATGAATGGCAAATCATATTATCTGTTTATAAAGGAGCACGTGACATACAGACGCATGAGTTAACAGACTATAAACTCATATATTTGAGCAAACACTCCAGTATGAAACTGACAGAAATGATTTTTGCACCAATAGATGAAACTGTGTGAATATAAACAGACTGAAATGTTCAATCATCATTTAAAGTTAGCGACTGTAGCAAATGTTATGAAAATAAAACAACGTTAAATGACATTCATCACAAATCACCTGCCAATGGCACACAGATCTGAATGATACAGTCAAAACAAAAGAGGTTTTGTGCTCAAGAATCAGTGCGATCATGATTCTGCTTTTGTTATGTGGTTATTAATGAACGTAATTAATATTTATGAAACTTTTACCAGGTAACTGAATCTGATGCATTATAACTCAATGAATCTGTGTTCACCAGTGCTGGCTAGATTACTTACAAACTGTAGTCTGTTACTGATTACAAATTACATGATGAAAACTGTAGTCAGTAATGTAATCTAGATTACTCATTTCAGGCAATGTATTCGGACTACTTTTGCATTACTTTTAGATTACTTTTGACCTAACTTGTTTATAGATTTAAATGGGGAAAATAAATAAAATATATGACCATTAACTGACATCAGAGAACATGCAAATATGTTGTTAAATTATTTGAAATATTAACTGTAAATCTCAGGGGGACTTTAAGTAAATATTTTAGGTCAGAGAGGTTAAAAATGAATAAACGTGAAAACAGCAATGACAAGGACAAAGTCTTCCAGGCTTGAAATATTTCTGTCAGCTATACATCGGCAGTGTTTAGTAACTTGTGTAATTATTGATCTCGTACATGAGAATAACTAAACTATAAATACTTTAATGCCATTGTGTGAATAATTTGTAATCATGTAATCCATAAAAATGTAACTGTAATCTGATTACGAGCATTTTACAATGTAATATAATTTGATTTCGAAGTACTGCATTTTTGGAATCTGATTACATAATCCAGGTTACATGTAATCAGTTACTACCCAGCACTGGTGTTCACTAGGAGGTGTTCAGTGTGAAATCACATTAAATCACACTGTTGCTTCTCTAAAACACAAATGCATTTGCAGTATTTGTTCGTCTACCTCAGCTGATCATATTTCATAACATTTCTGAGACTGAAGCTCGTAAACGAACACAAACTCAAACACAAACGTCCATTTTCATTCAGCCGCTGATGTTCCTCACCTGAACCCAAGACAGATTTTAAAATTATATCCTAATTTAAAAGAAAATCTAAATCTAAAAATCTTGAATAGATGAATATCTTATAAATTATTGCATATATAATAATCCTCTAAAAGTGAATGGAGTTGAATGTGAATTGTTGGTTTGCTTTGACTGTATCTGTCCACAGAAATAAGAGAAAGCCACTGATCTGACAATGACATAAAGACAAACGTGAGACACTGATCTGTCACCAAAACACACAGGAAGTCTAACAGCAGCACTTCCTGTTTCCGCTCCGTCTGGACCAATCAGCGCTCATTAAGAGATCAGAGTGTGAGATGTTGTAAGGCATATTGAACCGTTCAGACATTAAACACACGCTCTGTCCTGAATCTCCAGTCTTTTGTTCTCCAGAGCCGTGTGGACTCTGAATATTGGTGGGTTTCATCCTGTGAGAGTTTAGCTTCATTGAATTAGGATGAAACTACATTCAGAGAATCAAACTCAACAGAACTGTGAGGAGAAGCCAGAAGAAGCCAAGAGATGGAGATGCCAGAACGGCTGCACCTGCACAAACACACACACACAAACATCACAAAACTCTCTTATTTTACTCACTGACACACTTTTAGTGGCTTTAGTAATATATTTCACTTTCATTTTAGTCATTTTTTATTGTGTTCCTTGCTTTTTGGCTTGCTTAGTTTGGATCTGAAAGACACTTAACTTTCTGTAATTTATCGATATGACCGCACTGACTGAGACCGTTAGCTGAGAACAAAACTTGAACTGAATTAAGCTGGATGATGTACTATTGTCTTTGTATAAAGCACTATGAAGGTGACTTGACTTGTGTGTTTTTGCCATTGCTCTTAATCAAAAGAGACCAAACTTATTAATTTTGGCTAAACTGTTCAGAAGTTATAGGTAAAAATGTCAATTATTCATATCTCTTGACCAAGTTTGGTCTGAATATGATAAAGTGTTGCTGAGATATAGCCTCACATCCATTTTGCGTTCTTAGCCAAAAATGTTGATGCGCGCTATACAAGATGGGTCTGTGGAAAATCTTTTAATAACTCATTTCCAGCACGGTCTCAAGACAATCTGAGCCAATTTTGGTGAAAAATCAGATGAACTGTCTAGGATGAGTTAGAAAAAGAAGAGTGTTTAGCCCTTACCGTTCAGAAGTTATTAGCATAAACATGAGTGCAACTTTGAGCTGTTGGTGGCGCTACAGCGTTTGAGTTAGAGACTCCAAATTTGTTGTGGTTAATGTTGAGGCGGTCCTCTATCCGTGTGCCAAATTTCATAACTTTCCTGCAAGCGGTTCTATTGGCTCCATAGGGACTCAATAGCAGAAATAATAAGAAAACTAATGAGTACAAGAGTAGCTTGACCCCTAAATATCACATCAAACTGCTTATGATTTGCCTCGTTTGTAGGTTACTTTGAAGCATCTGCAAAATTAATAACTATAAATTTGTCTAGTAGAATATTGTGTTTGGAAGTCTGTTTTAATTTCTTTTCTAAATTTAGCTATATTTTATTAACTTTATTTCTATTTTTTATTGCCATGTCATTGTTTATATGTTATTTGTGTATCACTACTAAGAAAAATACAAAAAGGACAATAACATCTAATCTAATCTAAATGTAAATATGATGATAGTCATGTTTCTCAGTTTGATTGGGTTTCATTACTTTGAATTAAACTCTCATCTACTTTTTTGCTATCTTATGTATTTATGTTCCATCAGGATTATGTTCATTCAGAATTGAACCTCCAATCTAATCAACATGTAATTATTATGATACTCTTGTGATTCTCAGTTTGATGGAGTTGCATTACAAACTATCAACTACTTTTTTTGGTATCTTCATTATGCATGATCACATGGTTACTTGTATTTTATCTTCAATAACGATTATTATCCTGATTATCAGGAATAAAACTGAGTCGGAGTCTGAGTCTGATCAGGATTATGTTCATTCACACTAAATCATCTGTGTGTTTTCTGATTAACGGCTCCATCTGCTGGTCATTCAGTTCATGAGTTCATCACTCATCTGCTTCATGTGAACAGCATTTGCACTGATTGAATGCTTATCTTGAATACAGTGTGATTTGCTTTGGATAAAATAATTTGCCAAATGCGTAAATGCATAGAAATATAATGACAAGTTTCCTTATTTGTAAGTGACCTTTGTATAAAAGCATCTCCAAAATCTCCTAAATGGACTGTAATGTCCTTATGCACTAATGTAAATGTGGTTTTACCTGCAATGCGCACTTGTGCGACGGCTCCGTCTCCTCCCTCACTGTGTGCGCGCACCTCCACCAAATAATCGCCCTTCTTCATGGGCAGATCGATGAACTGCTTCGCTGTGGTGTACAGCACGCCGTTGGGCTGCCCCTCCTGCCTGTACAGGACCTGAGTGAGAACAGCACAACATCAAGCGCTGACAGAAACCACAAGATTTACACAATTTGCACAGGATTCAGTGAATCCAGGATAATAAAAAAAAAAATCCTAAACCAGTGACAGAAATGAACTTTCCATTAAGGAGCGATATTTACCACCTTAAACTGATTTCCAGGGGAATCTTAGAAATGATGTGTAATCTTTCTTGTAAATTCTTACATTTACTCAATAAATGCAGTTTGAATATAAGACACTACAGGGCTAAAACCAATCAAACAAAATTGATATCAACAACATCCACCTTTGCACTGCACAAGTGGCTTTTAGGTGGATTTATACAGTCTGTTTAATGCAGCTCAGAGATGCCATGAATGCATTTACACTGCAATTACAACTGCATGAATAATGTTAGGAGATCCATGTTTTAAATATAAAAAATACTGAATATAGGAATATGAAATGATACTTCAAAAATTAATCTATAAAAGCCAGTTGGTGGTGACAAATCACACGGTGTCTTTGATGTAAATTATTGAAAATAATAATTCAAAAGATTCCTTCAGTGCTATTTCTGCCATAAAAAGATATGCTAAAAATAGTAAGAGTAGTATACTAATAGAATATAAACAGCAACCCTTCTTAATTCTTATTTTGTGAATTCTGTAAAGATGACAGTGCCCATTAATTATACTGGAATTTCGGTTACACCAAAGATAGACATCTCTCAACCTGCCCTGTCTCTAATGGAGGTTTCCGAATCTAAAGTTAATACATTTCTGAACTCTCTTAAAACCTCCAAGTCTAAAGATATATTTGGATTAGATTCTATCTTTCTTAAAAGGCATGCAGATTTATTTACTGGACAAATAACAAAGTTAATTAATGCCTCTATTAAAGAAGGGAAGTTTCCGTAGGACTGGAAGTCAGCCATTATTGTTCCGGTTTATAAATCAGGGGACCCGACTGAGGCGAGTAATGCATTGAGAAATGCGTTGCTGAACAGTTGTTAACTCATCTTAATAGTAGCCCTTACACACTGCACCCAATGCAATTTGGATTTCGACAGTAAATTGCTTTCTTTTAGAAACTATCAAGTTAAAAATGGACAAAGGAGGTGTTGTTGGGGCCATATTCTTGGATTTAAAGAAGGCATTCAATACTGTTGATCATCAAATACTCGTTTGTAAACTAGCTAATTTTAATTTTCCCCCTAATGTGCTAAATTGGATGAAGTCTTATCTTACGGGTAGAGTTCAGTGTGTTAGGGTGGGTAGTAAAACTTCACCCTTTCTGTTCAATAAAATGGGTGTGCCTCAGGGATCCATCCTGGGGCATCTGCTTTTCAGCTTATATATAAATGATTTACCCTCTGTATGTACAGGGTGTGATGTTCAGATGTACGCAGATGATACAGTAATTTATGTCCATGCAAAACCAAAGAACAAGCAGCTTCTAAACTTAGTGCAATAATGATAAATGTAAACAAATGGCTTAATGATTCACATCTGGTTCTTAAATGTAAAGAAGACAGTTTGTATGTTTTTCACAAAGATGCACTCTGTAACTGACTGAGATCCTACAATGTATGTGTCTGGAAAGGTCATTCAGGTAGTCTCTTATGTTAAATATCTTGGTATTATCCTCGATTCCACTCTCTCCTTCAAAAAACAAGTGAAGAAAGTATTGCAAATAACTAAATATAATCTTGCTAATTTTAGGTATATGTCACGAATCCGGTCCGTGGCCTTCCGTCCGATTGCCACCAGAGGTCGCCCTTTCATTATATTGACTTTCACACCACACAGACTGTTACACGTCACCCTGGACTACATTTCCCATGTTACATTTCACTGATTGGACTCACCTGCAGTCAATCACACACACACTATATTACACCCACTCAGATCCTTCTCAAACTGCCGAGTATTGTTTGCGTTTATCGCTCTCTAAGTGGTAGCACTTTACGGAGCCAGTTCCCTGTCCTAGTTTTCAGAATCTAGTTTAGTCTTGGTATACCCGTGTCTTGATTCCAGTCTGTTTATCTCTTCCTGTCTGTCAGCTACCTGTCCTGGAATTATCGCCTGCCTTGGATTATCTCTTTGTCTTGCCGTTTCAGACTCTGTTCGCTCCTGCCTGAATTATTGCATGATTTATGAATTACCCGTTTGCCTCATCCTCTGGATTACGTTTGCCGTTGTTTGACCCACGCCAGTATATGGATTACTCTTTCGTCTTGACCTCAATATACCTGTTTGCCATTGTTTGACCCTGCCTGTTTCATATCATGTCTCTGAATAAAGCTTTGCATTTGGATCTGCATGTCTCATGTCTCGTTCACCCCGTTACAGTATATAAGAAACTGCCTAAGAACTACAGCAGCAAAATTATATATAAATTAAATGATTATTCCTCACTTAAGATACTGTATGACAACTTGGTCTCAAGCTAAAGGAACAACACTAAAGCCTATTTTCTCTCTGTATAAGCAGGCATATAAAGTATTAGATAAATAACCCAATACTTACCATCACTGCAATATTCTGGGCAAATATGATATTCTTAGTTGGGAAAATGTAACAAAATACACTGATGCCTGTCTGATGTTCAAGATTGTAAATGGAAAAGCTCCTCCACCACTTAGTATTTTTATTAAGCAGAAAAAGAAAAAGGATCTACTGAAAGAGGATTTCCAACTGAATTAAGAAATTGTACCATATATCATTCATTCAGACAAAGTCTTAAAACCTGGCTTTTAAAAAAAAAACAGACATGTGATCATTTTTAATTTTTAAATCTTACTGCTTGTTTTACTATTAATGTTGATATTATTTAATCCGCTGTTAACATGTTCCATGACCTTTGTTCGCTGTCAGGCAGCTAAATGTATGTTTTGGATTATTTGATTAATATTTTACTAATTGTCTGGTCTGGTATGTTTTTTTAGCCTACAATCTAGGTATGAGTTATTTTATTAATCCATAATGGAGTCTTTTGTGCTTCATGTATGGTTAATGTTTTTTCAGCACGCTTGCATATACCTTTTGAAGGTTGTGTGTTGTCTGTGTGTTTGCATGGCTGATTGTGTGAAAATGTTGATTGTTGTTATAGTGTTAGTACTGTTGTCATGATGCTTTTTGTTTATTGTTCTTTATATTTTAAAGGGTTTTGAAACATCTTCCCAAAGGACTGCAGTTGAAGATTAGCCGACTGGCTAACACTGGCCAGTGTTATGTGTTATGTGCAACACATTTACAGAAATCTTGATTAATGTGTGTTGTCCTTATAAATAAATAAACAATAAACAAACAATGTGAATTTCAAAATTTAGCAACTGTCTCTAAGAATGGCTTATTGAATCACTGACTCATTTAAATTTGTTCATGAACACTGAATCATTCAGGAATGAAACACCACCCTGTTGATCAGTGCTGCAATGATTGGTGAAATAGAGCAAAGCAATCCACAGTGACAATATTGTATCTAAAATGTCCGTCACTTAATATTAACTTGAACATAACATTAACATTTTTTTAAATTTATTGTATAAAGTATAAAACAGTGATCTTAAAAGGAGGACAAATGAGCGTCTGGATCAAGTCTGCGCTGGTAAATGAACAAGGTGTTTCAAAACCGGACTTTCCAATGTGAACCCGCACGGATGGCTACACTAGCAGCAGATTATATCAGAAACACTGTTGTATTTATAAGGGTCTTAGAGCATTCTGTCCAAATTCAGCCCCTTGAGTAACCTGAAATCTGCTCCATAAATCAGTTTTCAGTTTTGATTTGGCCTGTAATATTATCACAGAGTTATAAAGGGACTGTTAAACATGGATTTTTGACATTATATATTCCGAAAAGCCTAAAAGAATAGAAATGTATTTCTTCTGTCTTTTCCTTCTTTCAAACACACATTCTCATTGACTCAAACACTCATTCAATCATCACTCACACATACAGATGATTTTTATGGTCTCTCATTGCTGTGGATCAGCTGCCAGCACTAATTAAGCATCCTTAAGCTCATCAGTGGCTTGAGCTTCACACATGCAGCAGCAGAGGGAGACAGAGAGACAGAAAACCCATCCAAAACCACATATTTTTGCAGTCTTTGAGTCGCACCTCAAGGCCCTGTCCACACGAACGCGGTTATTTTTAAAAACACAGCTTTTTCTACGCGGTTAGGCTGTTCGTCCACACGCAAACGCAGCACCAGGTCACTGAAACCAAACATTTTTGAAAATGCCTGCCAGGGTGAAGATTTTCAAAAACTCCGGTTTCAGTGTTATCGTGTAGACAGCGAAACCGGAGTTTTTGGCTTGTGACGTCGGAGCCTGCGCTGTTATCTCCGCCTACTGGAGACTTTTTCAGGCTTCTGATTGGCCAACATGGCTTTACGGTTGAGATTATATCGCCACCTGTTGGTTTAGCATGCTCTTGACAGTGCTTCACAGCATGCGTTTGCGTTTTCATGTGGACGGAGATTTTTTAAAAAACGGAAGAAGGAAAAACTCCTTCATTTTTAAAAATACCCATGTATGTGTGGACATGGCCGATTTGTATGCATGATAAATCGTAGCTCCATGAATCCAGTAAGACAAACACACTGAAACACATTCAGAGACACTGAGCAGCAGGTAAAGGAAGCATCAAGAGCAGCTCGATTAGTTTAAACACCTCGTTTACTGTGTTTTTCTGACCTTATATCCCTCCACTGTCGACTCGTTGGTCAGCGGCTCCACCTGCTCCCAGGCGATGTTGATCGTCGTGCCGCTGTAGTTCATCTTTGTGCCGATGATTTTAGGAGGCCGACTAGGAGCTGAGAAAAACAATACAATCAGATCAGAAACAGTAACATAAATGCCAATTATTTATTTTTAACATCACGTTTACTCTTTTTTTCCCTCACACAGTAAAAATGTGTCCTAAAAATGTGTTTGGACTCCTATGAGACTTACGTGCTTTCTTGGTGTAGATTTTGTGGCGCTGGCTGGCGGGTCCGTAGCCGGCGCCGTTATACGCCCGTACCTCGATGAGGTAATGTGAGTTGGGCTTCATGTTGTCCAGACGTGTGTGGTTTTCTCGACTGGGAACCAGAACACGTTGTGCAGATGCCTCGTTCTCCACCGACTCCCTCCAGTACCGGACCTGAGAGAGAACACCCGCACCAGGCCAGAAATTAACACACTATCATAGTTTTTATTCATATTTTAAATTAGGCTTTATTTTTACATTTTACATTTTAATTTTAGTTGAGATTTTAGTAATTTTGTTGTTTTATATATTTTTAATTAATTTACATTTTATTTAACTGTCTGTATAGTTTTTATTATTTTTTATTTATTAGTCTTAGTTTACTTTGTTATTTTAGTACATACAAGTACATCTTGGCAAGTACATATTTCTAATATTTCAAGTGTTTCTTCTTTTTTTAAAATCAGTATAATTTTTTTCTTCATTTTTATTTGAGTTTTAGTTTTAGTTATTTTAGTTCAGTTTTAGTTTAGTTATTTTAGTTTACTTCAAATTAAACGAGAACAGTTGCCTTGGCAACTAGGTGAATTTTTTTTATTAATTTATATATTTGTTTTTTTATATTGTAATTTACTAAAGTTAACATTGTATTGCAAGTAATGAGAAGTAATGTTTTTTTTATAGTTTCAGTTTTATTTAATGATAATAACCCAGCTGGTAAATGAACAACTTTAGATATCAGGAAGTGAACTTGAGATGTGTGATAGGATACTCTGATGTGATTGGTTCATTCTGGGGTTAATGGTGAACTAGCGCTTTGGTACCTGGTATCCTTCAACCGTCTGCAGCTGTAGAGGCACCCAGGACACGACGGCTTCTGTGGCTGACAGCGTCCTCGCCTCGATGATGGTGGGAGCTTCCGCAGGAACTGAGATGGAAACACACGTCAGTAATGTCGCTAGTTCACATGGTTTAATTCTGTAAATCTGCAGCCGTGCATCACCCACCATCCTGAGCAGAGTAGATGAAGGCGCTGACGCTGAACGGCCCTTCACCCTGACTGTTAAAGGCCTTCATCTTCACCTCAAACCTGGTGGACGGGGGGATTTTCGAGTCTTTGTGGATGTACTTTTGGGCCTGAGGATCGGTCACTGTCACCCTCATCCACTCGGGGTCGTTATGAGGCTTGAATGCGATGATGTAGCCAAAATTACTGCCGTAGTAGTACTGTGGCTGGACCGGCTGGAGACGCGAACCACAGCAAGACAGCACAGGTGAATAGAGTAAACACTTAAACTAATATAAATCACCATACTTCCCCAGCTGATTAATCACAATGCATTCAAATAATACATTTTGCATTACAAGTTTTCTGAAATGTTATGTTTAAATATACAAATGATGCATTATCATTATATCATGTGCACTAGTTTGCATACATTTCCAGAGCAGAAACATGAACATTGGTTCAAAATTCTTTAGATAATTCTAAGTTTTGGTGTATGTTAGTACTGCTGAAGAGGAGAAACAAACTCACGACCTTTAAATATATGCATTTTCACCATGTTTAAGGAATAAAATGTTGTATAAATCAGTGTGAATGAAATATGAAGAAACCCCTCAGTAAAAACCTTCAGAATATAGAGAGGAATAAAACTCTAAGTTTCGGTGTGTGTAAGTGCCGCTGAAGTGGAGAAACAAACTTTTATAGATATGGGTTGGAATTAAAACCTACAGACGCAAACAGATAAAGTGTCATAAAATAAACACATAATTGTGTATTTTAGATCGTTTTTCACTAGTCTGAAAGCAGACATGTCATAGAAGAGAGTGAGAGAGAGTGAGAGAGTGTCCAGCACTAAATAATGACAGACGTTACAGTAATATTGGTTGCTAGGGCATTGCTATGCAATTACTAGTTACTATGATGTTCTAGATGATTCCAGTGGTGTTACTGTATGTTGTGGGTGGTTTCCCAGAATGCTGCTGGAGGACTAACACACTGATGTTTAATACTTAGTGTTAGTGGTTTAATCAGATCACTATCAACAATAGTACTAGTGAGGATTGACTTAAACATACTAATGCATGGACCTGGTGGAACGTAAGCTTATTAAAGCAACGTAACGTGAGTTTCTGATCATTTTCAACTAAAACGGCATAATATCTGATGAATGAATGCATATATTAATGAGTGAACCTGTAAATGTTTTAAATTTTACTGTTATTACCATGTTTTTACTACATTTGCCCCCCTTTTTACTAATTAAAAATGAGAAATTCTTTGAAATTTCATATTATACATGAACTACAGCAAAACTACTGTGATGCATTTCAGTATTGATGATACATTTTATTTGAATATATCATTATATGAAACTTATAAGAACATACTGAAAATGACCAGCATTAACTCCATTGGAATTAACAGAATTTAATTACTTTTTTTTTTTTTTTTTACTTATAACTCATAACTGCTCAAAAATAGTCCAGATTTACGAAACCTACATTTTCTAACAAAACAACATCAATATTAGTCTGGAATGTTTTCAAACAAAATATATTTCTTTCACTTGTATAAACTTTCACTTTTATCATTAAAAAGACGGATAATGGCGCAGCGATAATGGTAGACGCTGCAATGGTTCATCAATAGGTGGCAGCAGAGTGAAATCAAATGATATATATTTTTTTTATAGTCTTTACTCATTTCTAAAGTTTGCTTCCTGTACTAAAACCTTGAAATTGTTGTGCTCTGCTTCCAGGTCAAAACGGGCTAAATGCAGTAGCTGGGTTAAACAAACACACTAATGACAATAAACCGCAGGTGATTGTTTCCTCAGATGAGGACAAAAGGAGCTCACTGGCTTCTCTGGTGGTGATTTTGGGCGAGGGGTCACTCGGGGGTCCGGTGCCCAGCGTGTTGGTGGCGATGACCCTGAACTCATACTCCATCCAGGGCGTCAGATTGATCACGGAGGCCATTTCTGCATTTCCCTCCACATTCACTGGAGCTGAAGACACACAGAATCACTGGATTACAGCACAAACTCACTGCGGCTGGTTAACATCCAAACTACTGCTTTTAATGGATTCAAATAGTCAAGTCAAACTTTATTAACAGATGATTAAGAAATTAAATAGTCATCTTAAATGTGCAGAAAAGTATATTAATATATGAATTATACACGCACACATATGTATCATCACTATAGAGAAGTGTGGTGATGTACTCACAGGTGGAGGCGTCTCTCCAGTCCTGCTGCTCTCGCACGTCTCTGTACTGGACACTGTATTTGGAGATGGGACTCAAGTTATCCGTCCCGTGACTCCAGGTCACCCTCACGCTGCTGGTCATCACCTCGTCCACACGCACACCACCGGGAGGACCTGGGGGACCTGAGAATGAGGAGACACGGGAGATGGTGATCAACATCAGAAAACAGCTGTGACGTCCCGCTCAGGTTTATTGAAGATAAAATGGAGAATGATCCCATGAGTCTCAGTCTGACCTCTGACCACCAGCTCTGCGGAGGCCGTGATGTTGTCCACCGGCGTCTGCGCCGTACAGCTGTAATGTCCCGCGTGTCTCAGCTGGGTGTTACTGATCAACAGCTCTGAGCTGGACATCCCAGCCTGACCGTCTTGATTAACATCCTGAGCAACAATCATTTCAGTTAATACGTTTAATTCATGTTTGCTATATACACAAGACACCTGTTCACACCAAGAACAATAACTAAAACCATACAGTTGGGACAATAGCGGCATCCACACCACGATTATGACGATAAAGACTCACTTTCAAAGTCAAAATGTCAGTATAGTTATTGGTGCAGTTAACGTGATAGTTATCATTACAGTTCTCATAATTAACATAATATTTAACATTATGGTTATCGTTGCAATTCTCATAATTATCGTTATAGTTATCGTTACATTTATCATTACTGTTATTCTTATAGTTTGCAATATAGTGATTGTTCGTTACTGTCATGGTTATGTTCTGTTTTGGTTCTGTTTCTGCCTCCACATTTCCCTGAGTCCCCTTGTCTATTAGTTTCCATGGTTTTTGATTAATTTGCTCGTTAGTCATTATTAGTTAACTCCCTTCACCCGTTTTCCCCTCGTCAGCTGCCCTACTTAAAGTCTTCCTTCTGTTCTGTCGTTTGTCAGTGATTGTTTGATGTTATGACTACCCTGAGCTGTTTCCTTGCCTGAGTTTTTGTGGATTATAATATTAAAGACTTTTCGTTGTGGATTATCCTCGTCTTCTTCGCCTTCCTTTAGAGAGACTGTAACAAAATCACCGGCCCTCATTTTGAGTAAATTTTTAGCAGCGTTTTTCTTTCTGTTTGTTTTGTTTCTTTCATCCCTCTCCCTCTATGGACCTGCCCGCAGTCCAGCTGCTTTGCCTGGAGCAGCAGGACCGTTCGCTGGAAGACCACACCAGGGACTTTATCGACCTGGCGTGCCTTACTCACTTCCTGGACCGCTCGCTCTGTGTTTTCTACATCAGGGGTTTTCAACCTTTTAGGACATGCGCCCCCCAAGTGTCTAATTTCACTCGCGCCCCCAGGACCATACCAGGGACTTTGTAGATCTGGCATACCTTACACACTTCCTGGATCGCTCGCTCTGCATATTCTACATCACCAGCCTGAGCGAGCGGTGTAAGGCACGCCTACCAGCGGACGGTCCAAAGGAGAATTTCGCCACTTGTGTGGAGTGGCTGCTGGAGAATAATGGACTATTTTTCTCCGTCTGCCCCACCGAGGACAACTCCAGCCCCACTCCCGAGCCAGAGTCCAGCCAGCCATCACCATCACGCTGCATGGAACGTTCGCCAGAGCCCACCGCAGCCACAGAGCCAGAGCCGGCCGCGATTAAAGAGCCAACGCCATTTAAAGCGACAGAGCCAATCATCGCCCCGGAGCTAGGGCTCGAGAGCGCGACTGACCAGGTGCATGAGCCGGCAACACCGTGCATCGTGGGAATAATTGTGGAGATTGAGGGAATGGAGAATAACCCCGCCCACACGCCCACTACTGAGGGTGAGCTGTTACTGGACTCTGAACTATTGAGCTATTTGTGTGAGGAGGAATTCTGGCTTCTCCCTTTCCCGTTGGTCCCGCCCACCTCCCCATTGTCTCCAGAGCCCCTGCTGGTTCCGTCCAGCTCTCCTGTATCTCCTAAATTCCCTGTTACTCCTAAGCTTCCACCCAGCCTCCCTCTCCCGCCTCCTCTAATATCAGCCAGTTCCTCAGCTCTATCTCTGTTGGTGCCTGTCAGTCCCTCAGCACACCCTCAGTCAGCACCATCTGGGTGCTCTGATCTGCCTCGGGACTTCCATTCTCCAACTCTGCCTAGGCGTGAGGATCCCCTGTCTCCACCTCGGTCCTTTGACCCATCGGCTCCGCCTTGGCTCCTAGCTCCCTTGTCTCCACCGTGGCCCGTTATCCCACCAGCTCCACCGGGCTCCCTCGTCCCTCTGGCTCCGCCTTGGTCAGTCATCGACCATCCGCCGCCTCGGGGAATCCTCTGGCTTCGCCTCGTCACTCCGTCTCTCTGGCTCTGTCAGGCTCCTCCTTCCCTCCGGCTCCACCTTTGTTCTCTGTCGCTCCGGCTCCGCCGTGGTCTTCCGGAGCCCCGCCTCCGCCTCGGTCGCCTGAGCCTTCAGCGCCGCCTTGGCCCTCCGGATCCTCAGTGTCACCCTGGCTCTGCGGCTGCTTGTCTCCGACCTGGACTCCTACTCCACTCCACTCCTACTTATCGCCGTCAGTCGGCCCCCTGGTGTCGCCTGCTCGAACTCCACCATAGCTCCTCCCTCTGGCGACTCCACCGTGGGCCACAATCCTGGCTGGTCTCTGGATTTCCATCTGGCTCCTCCTGCTCCGGGCTCCTCCCTGGCTCTTCCCTCCATCCACTCCGCCCTGGCCCTATGAACTATGCTCCTTTTTCATTGCCTGCCCCTTGCCTGCCCCACGCCCGCCTCCTGAACCCCCACCCTCCCTCCTCTGTTGGACTGTTGATAGACGCGAGGACGCGCCTTCCGGGAGGGGGGCGAACTGTCATGGTTATGTTCTGTTTTGGTACTGTTTCTGCCTCCACATTTCCCTGAGTCCACTTGTCTATTTTTTTTCCATGGTTTTTGATTAATTTGCTTGTTAGTCACTATTAACTCCCTTCACCTGTTTTCCCCTCGTCAGCTGCCCTACTTAAAGTCTTCCTTCTGTTCTGTCATTTGTCGGTGATTGTTTGACTACCCTGAGCTGTTTCCTTGCCTGAGTTTTTGTGGATTATAATATTAAAGACTTTTCATTGTTGATTATCCTCGTCTTCTTCGCCTTCCTTTAGAGAGACTGTAACAGTTACATTATCTTTACAGTCATCATTATAGTTATCATTGTTACAGTTATCATGTTATCATCATTATAGTTATCATTATAGATACTGTTAGATTTACCATTAGTTATCGTTACAGTTATTGTCATAGTTATCAATATAGTCATTGTTATAGTAAGCATTGTTATAATTATCAGTATAGTTATTGTTACAGTCATCATTATAGTTACCGATATAGTTATTATTATAATTAGCATTATAGTTATAATTATAGTTATCAAAATGATCTTCATAGTTATCATTATAATTATTGTTATAGTTATCATTATACTAATTGTTATAGATACCATTAAAAGTAGCATTATGCTTATCTTTATAGTTATCATTATATATACTGTTAGGTTTACCATTATTTATCATTACAGTTATTGTCATGGTTATCAATATATTCATTGTTATAGTTATAAACATTATAGTAAGCATTGTTATAATTATCAGTACAGTTACTGTTACAGTCATCATTATAATTACCGATATAGTTATTATTATAATTATCGTTCGAATTATCATTATAGTTATAATTATAGTTATCAAAATTATCATCATAGTTATAATTATAGTTATCAAAATTATCATCATAGTTATCATTATATTATTATATTATAATTATTATAGATACCATTAAAAGTAGCACTATAGTTATCATAAGTAGCATTATGGTTATCTTTATAGTTATCATTATAATTATTATTATTATAGTTATCGTTATAGTTGTCATAGTTATCGTTTTTTGTGTTAAGGGATCCACTATGGTACTGAAGAGTCTTGATTCATTAAAACTAAAAAAATAATCAATAGATGTTTGTCATCAGTATTTAACAGGATTTAACATGAGGAACTGAATTCACCATTTTGTGCTCGTAATGCTCTCTGTCTCGGTCGAAGTCGATGACGTGTGCGTCGAGGGACCAGATGAAGGTGAGGTCGAGGGTGGGGTCATGTGACGTGGCGCACTCCATCCTGGCGCTCTTGCCCACACTGACGTCAGAGTTGGACGGGGCCAGAGTGATCTTCGTGGCGTCTGAAGAGAGACAACGATAAACTCAGACAACAAACGGCTGATTCTGATTCCAGCACTTCTACAGGACACATGAATACAGGAGAACGCCTCTCACTTCTGCTGATGTGCAGTCGCGTGTTTGTGGCAGCAGAGGGCAGGAGTGAGACGTGTGTCCATCACATCACACTTAAAGGGCTAGTTCACCCAAAAATGAAAATTAGCCCACAAATTACTCACCCTCAAGTCATCCTAGGTGTATATGACTTTCTTCTTTCAGACGAATCCAGTCGGAGTTATATTAAAAATTGTCTTTGATCTTTCAAGCTGTTTAATGCCACTCAGCGGGTGTTGCATGCATCACCGACTGGATTCGTCTGAAAGAAGAAAGTCATATACACCTAGGATGACTTGAGGGTGAGTAATTTGTGGGCTAATTTTCATTTTTGGGTGAACTAACCCTTTAACCAACAAATACAAACTCAACTAGATTACAAACTGTGACGTTCATTTGAGAGGAAGCCCAGCAAGAAAGTTTGCAGTAGGTTTAAAGATTAAGGTTAGGAGGTTTTAAGGCCATTCAGTCTGTCAGACAAACAGATGTGTTCTGGATGGTTGCTATGGAGTTGCTAGGGTGTTCTGGGTGGTTGTTAGGGAGGGTGTTACTTTACAGTTTCTGAAGTATTCTGGGTGGTTGCTAGGCTAGGGTGTTCTGAGAGGCTGTTGGGGTGTTGTTTTGCCGATGGTAGGCTATTCTGGATGGGGTATTCTGTGTGTTTGCTAGGTAGTTGCTATGGGGTTGCTATGTGGTTACTAGGGTGTTCTGGGTGGTTGGTGGGGATTTTTCTTTGCAGTTTCGAAGGTATTCTGGGTGGTTGCTAGGCTAGGGTGTTCCAATGCAGCTACTAGGATGTTCTGGATTGTCATTAGGGCATTGCTAGGGTGTTGCAGGGTATTGTAGAGTATTCTGGGTGGTTGCTAGGGTGTTGTTATGCAGTTTCTAGGGTGTTCTGGGTGGTTGCTATGGTGTTGCTATGCAGTTGCTGGTGTCTTGTGGATGGTTGTTATGGTGTTACTTTGCAGTTTTTAAATTTCTGGGTGGTTGCTAGGCTAGTAGGTAGCTATGAGGTTACTATGGTGTTCTGGGTGGTTGTTAGGGCATTGCTAAGTTGTTCTGGATGGTTGTTAGGGTGTTAGTTTACAGTTTCTAAAGTATTCTAAGTGGTTGCTAGGCTAGGAGGTGGTTGTTAGGGCATTGCTAGGGTGTTGTATAATATTCTGGGTGGTTGCTAGGGTGTTGCTATGCGGTTGCTAGAATCTTTTGGGTGTTTTGTTAGGTCTTTACTTTGCAGTTTCTAAGGTATTCTGTGTGTTGCAAGGTTAGGATGTTGTTAGGTGTGTTGCTGCTGGAATGTTGCTATGTGATTGCCAGGGTGAACAGTACATTGTCTTTCTCAAGCCAACACAATAACAGCAGTAATAATCAGGATGTTCTGATGTTAGGGTTTGGATTCTGTGTCGTACCGGTGACTGACAGCGATCCGGAGCTGTTCGCTCGGCCTCGGTTGTTTTCTGCGAAACATGTGTATTTTCCTTCGTCTGATTTAGTGACGTTCAGAAGCTCTAAACTCCCGTCTGGCCATATGAAAATCCTGCAATCATAACAGACTGAATATGAATGGTTCTGGAGAGAGCAGGGATCCGTGAGATGACCTCTGCGTGACCTCTGACCTGCTGGAGTTGTGTAGGAGTTCGGTTCCTTTGCTCCAGGAGATGGTCGGCTGCGGCGCTGCTCTGGGTTTGCAGTCAATCACCACGCGCCCGTTTTTGGCCCCCAGAAGTTTGGGTTTCACGGGTTTCCACTCAAACGAAGGAGCGTCGGCTGAGAAAACAACACATTCAGAGGAAGAACTAGCAGTGTTCCTCAAGATCTTCAACCCTTTGAGTCCTGAAGCTCAGAACCACATTTTACAGTAAATATTAATACTAAACGATGAATACTCACCAAAGACCCTGAGCTCGGCGTTGGCATATATTGTGCCGTGACGGTTCTCAGCAATACACTGATACATCGCTGAATCATCAAATGTCAGGTCTGTGAAATGCAACTCATGGTTCTTGGCGTACTGATGGAATAGAATCAAGAAGAGAACAGATTCATCCGTCAGAACTCAAGACTGCTTTCATCAGATATCATCAATATCATATTTCTACTGACTATCATGAGCCTCTGAAATCTATCAATGAGAAAAATCCCTAAAAAATACTAAATAATAACATTATTCATATATATATATATATATATATATATGTGTGTGTGTGTGTGTGTGTGTGCATGTATTTATATATAATTCATACAAGTAAAATTAATAAATATAAATGTAAAAAGTACAAATAAATTATTTAATGCAAATATGTATATGAAAATGTATTTGTTTAATTAATTTCATTAGATAAAATAAATATGAATAAAATCATAATAATACAAATATTACAAAATCATAAAATAAACTAACAAATAAAACAATTTGGCATACAAGCAAAATGAATAATGCCGTACAAATAAATTTAAATTCTAATTAAAAACAAAAACAAACAAATAAATAAATAAATATATTTGATTATTTATTAATGTGATAAAAAAAAAAACAATTATAAAAACAAATCATAAAAAACATATTAACCCTTAAATGCATACCTCGGGTCTTTAGCGACCCGGGACATCATTCTCTACCCTCTCCCTCCTTAATTTTTTTAAGTTAGACATCAACTTTCTTAGTATTCCTCAATCTATTAATTATAAACAATATAACAAGAAAAAAATAGTAAAATATAAAAGAATGCCTGTTTTCTGATTAATTTTTTGTAAAAAGTGTATAGGGTCGCTAGAGACCCGAGGTATGTAAATGTGTAAGTATTTTTTCCTGCGCAACTATATTTACATATCCGATGACTCAATGTGTGCAATGCATCATTTTTCCTCAAGGTGGCACTGTTTGATACACAATGATGACGTGACGTTTCACTCATAATTACCGCAGGCATAAAACAAACGAATATCATCAGCAAAAATTTAAGTGGTTTGAATGGCTTTACTGCAGAGCAATTACTATACGCAATGAAATATAAATGTCACTGCCATTTGATGATCAAAATATTGAATATGAAGTCATTGAAAATGATAGTTTTAGAGAATAGGTTGAGATCGTGAATGTGAGGCAGATGTTGAATATACTGTGAAAGTACGCTCTGACGATGACAGCGATGGTAAAAATAATCTGCTCAAATTGTACACTTTTAAGTTTCAAAAGGTAACAAAATATGCTTTATTTTATTCTTCTGTAATTGTTCTTAAAATATCAAGATAATTTTTTGCTATTGCAGCAGTTAGAGATCCATCCGTGCTGGATATATAGGTCCGGGTCGCTAAAGACCTGAATATGTAATAATGATTGGCGAAACATTCATGCATTTAAGGGTTAAGAGTTAATATAAAGTTTATTTTGACTAAAGACACTGTAAAACACTAACATCTGTATGGCATCATTATTCTGTTGGAAGTCATGTTTGATTTGCATTCTGTGGCTCTTGCTGTGATATACGCTGCAAACACACTTCAGGTGTTTGGATCAGCACCATCTGGTGTCGTGGCTGTTATGCAACCGGAAGCATGATGGGAAGGCCTCGCTCCAGATGGGAACACAGCCAGCAGTCCGGCCGCCTCACAACACGCTCATTCATTACGCTGACCTGCTGCATCTATTTACATGCACTGCTGGAGTGGAGGAGTTTGCTATTGCATTTTACTGACTGCGACAATGTTTCCTATTTTTATTGACATCAAAATAGGGAGACTGTGGCGTTCCTGTAGCTCAAAGAGTACAGCATGACGCTAGCAACATGAACTGATTGAATGTATAAAACTCTGAATGTAAAAACAGTCACTTTGAATAAAAGCACCTGCCAAAATTCAGATTTATTTTCAGTTGATCTGATTTTAAATGCTTGAATTTGTGTGAAAAGGAATGATTATAAATCAGACGTCAGTGGTACCATTCGTCCGTTCTTCAGGAAGTGCACGTGGGGTTTGGGTTTCCCGCTGGCCAGACAGGACATGATGTAATCGCCTCCGATGTCTCTCTCCGAGCTGCTGATCTTCTCCACCCATTCAGGAGCTCCTGAGTCAAACACAAACTCACGCGTAAACCAGTGTTATTTAGTATCATTTAGATACTATTACAGTATTTATTAAGATTTTGAATTAGTTATTTTAGTGCATCAAGTTAAACTAAATGAAAATGAAAAACACTATCTTAGCAACTAGTAAAAAAAAGTTTGTATACTTTATTTCGGTTAGCATTTATTTAAATTCAAGTATTTATTATTATTTATTTTATCATTTTAGTTTTAGTTAACTATTATAAACCCTGATGTAAACTAGCAGTGCTTTACAGGGCTATTCTTGCATTTGAACAAATCCTAAAACATTAAGAATTGAACATTTTTGCATTTTTATTGGTATTGTGATAACACTTTAGCTTAGGGACCCATTCTCACTACTAACTAGTTGCTTATTAGCATAAGCACTTCCGGCTTCGCTACCTTTTCTGTAATTTTCTCTGATTTTTCTAAGATTTTTACTTCAGCAGATCAGCACAGTGCTCAAACAACACATTTTTAGCACAAACACTAAAACTAAAAACTAGGGATGCACTGATACCGATACTGGTATCGGTATCGGCCCGATACTGGTCTCCTGTACTCGTACTCGTACTCGTTAAAATGACCCGATACCAAACGCCGATACCACACAACATGTGATAAGCGCCATATTCAAACAAAGAAACACCAACAACAGACAGCAGAAAGGAGTTAAGGATGTCTACTACGAAGTATATGTATGCAATGAATATAATGTTAAACATTCAGTATTAACGCCTGTATAGCTCACAGCTGTCTACATTCAAACAGAAGAGAGAGAATAATGCCTCCTGTTGAATCTACTTGTTGCATAAACTGCTGCAAACTTCTACAAAGGATTGTGGTTCTTGAAACAAAGTTACTTGCTGGAATTCCAAAACAGGCAGAACACTCAGCAGACCGTCATCATGGACCCCCTCAGCATACAGCCGGTGAGTCCTGTGAATCTAGTGAATCTCAACAGTTCCGGAACATTCTGATGAAGCAAAAGACTGCAAATCGAATCATCATCCATGTGGGGAAGAATGATATTCGGAAAGAGCAGTCAGAACTCCTTAAAAAGGATTTCAGTGAACTCTTTGAAACACTTCGAAAACTCAAAGTTCAGTCGTTCATCAGTGGACCATTCCCAGCAAGGGGAAGTAACATGTTTTCACGGTTGCTTGGGCTGAACACATGGCTACAACGATCTTGCAATATAAAAGGAGTGAATTTCATCGACAACTTTAATCTTTTCTGGGGCCACAGACAACTGTTTAAACTGGATGGCCTCCATCCAAACAAACTTGGTGCAAGAGTACTTAAGGACAATATCTAATTCTCCCTCTGTCATCCTTCAGCAGAGTGTGTCAATCCACTCAGCCTGAATAGCACACACACACCTGGTCCTGTGGTGGCTTCTGCTGTTGCTGTGAAGAATCTTTCTCAGAGTCTTGGAGTTTTGATGCCAGAAGAGATTTTATTTTCAGAGACAATAAAACCTGAGAGAACTC